CACACACACACACACACACATCCATGCCCCCACCAACTCTCAAAAGACACACACACACTCCCTCTCTCTCTCTCTCACACACACACACACACACACACACACACCTTCTGGATCCTCTGCTGGTATTCGGCTGCTTTCCTCTTGAGCTCTTCGCTGGTCAGCCGTGACTCTCGCAGCTCGGTCTCGTACAGGTCGCTGCGGCGGCGGGCTGCAGACAGGTCCTCCTCCAGCTGTCTGATGGTCACCTGCATCTCCTCCAGCTGAGCGTGATACTCCTGAACACACAGAGCAGCACGTCACCACACACACACACACACACACACCAGAGACCTCCCAAACACACCAAATATGAAGTCATACTCCTACAACGCATGTTCTCAGTAACTCACAGAACATGCACTTCATGGAAACTTCATTTGAATTACACAATTACTATCATTAAAATCATAGCATTGTCCAAGAAATGTGTAAATATCACAGCACATGAATACAATAATCAGCCTGATACACTGTACTATTTTACATGGCTATTAACAGTTATTTTAGTACTAATGTACTATTTAAAGTTTTTTATTCAAATCATTCATTTGTTTTTTTATTTTGATCTTTTCAGCTCATTTTAGTAATTGTATTATATTTATTAAATTTTTTATTATTTCAGTTACTTGCCAACATTTCTAGTTTATATATATATATATATATATATATATATATATATAATTATATATTTTAATATATAAAAGTTTCATGTTTTTAATAACTATAGGTAAGAATAATACCCAGCAGCACAAGACGTCCGTGTGCGTTTCTGCTCTGACAAAGCTCTGGTGTTCCTGTGCAATGACCCCCTGACAGCAGCCAGACGGGTTAATGAGGGTTTGAGCGAGTAAGATGCATTAAGGAATTAAATGAGCGGCTTCGGAGAGTGACTGAAATATAGTGTGAATGATTACAGGCTGAGATTCTCTCTGAAGCCGGCGGGTCTCACCAGGTTAATTGCGCTGAGTATAGAGGTCTGAGAGAAACACGCATACAAACGAACTGAACGCACTTTCACAAGCTCTTCACGACATTTCAGTTCAACCAAAGGGAGCATCTTAGTTTGGATCCAACGAAAAAACATTTAAGAGGCAAATTTTTTAGTTGCCAAATTACAGGATTGCTCGATATAGATCACAATCACGCTCTGAAGGTCCATCATCAAGTCATTTAAAGCTGCTGCGAGTGAAGCTTAATGGAAAATATCACTATTACATGACAGACTGCGATGAATTATTGTGTTCACGAAATATGTAACAGCACTAGTCTCTCCATAATGCATTAAACCATGAAACTGAACATATTTAAGCCTAAATTTAAGATTTATGTTTCTGAATTGCACCGTTTTAAAATAAACAAACCAATAAACTTAATATGAAGCTTTTTTTTTTTTTGTCATACATAACAGGTCAGATTTCTGCACTCAAAAAGTCATAGCTTAGTTTATTATTAACTATTTGTGATCTAATTATTAACTATTAATCTATTTGGGTTTATTTAAATAATCCTATTTTAAGACGCATTTATTCAAATTGCTTAGAATCAGCTATTATTCAGTTAAAAACTATGAGCATGGTTAAAATAAGTGGAACAAGCAGTATTCAATCAGCCAAAATGTATGAAATTGGATTTATTGATAAATACATAAAGCTGGTTATTGTGTATTTAAAACCTATTCAGTTGATTCAATCTGACCCGTTTCATTCATGTATGACTGACAAATGTATGACTGCATCACATGAAGTTTATTAGTTTCCTTATGTTAAAACTGTGTAATACAAATACATTTTATGTGCAATTCAAATACATAAATCTTCAATTCAGGCCTAAATATTTTTGAGAAATTAGCTGGATCAGATCACACTTGTGATCATTTCAGTCACTTATTTCAGTGATGCAGCTCTTTAAACGAGATGTTTCAGTAAAATAACTTTTAAAGCTTTTTAAAGATTCAGCCCTCATTGTGTGTCTGTCTGTGTGTGTGTGTGTGTGTGT